GTTCAGACTTCCAATTTGCTTTTTCCCGGGCCGGGAAAAAGCAAAATTGTTCAGACATTCAATTTACTTTTTCCCGGGCCTGGAAAAAGCAAACGGCTCAGACTTCCAATTTGCTTTTTCCCGGGCCGGGAAAAAGCAAACGGCTCAGACTTCCAACTTGCTTTTAAGCAAACGGCTTTTTCCCGGGCCGGGAAAAAGCAAAATGGTTCAGACTTCCAATTTGCTTTTTCCCGGGCCTGGAAAAAAGCAAGTGGCTCAGACTTCCAATTTGCTTTTTCCCGCCGGGAAAAAGCAAAATGGTTCAGACTTCCAATTTGCTTTTTCCCGGACGGTGAAAAAGCAAAATTGTTCATGCTTTCAATTGGCTTTTTCCCGGGCTGGGAAAAACCAAAATGGTTCAGACTTCCAATTTGCTTTTTCCCGGGCCAGGAAAAAGCAAAATGGTGCAGACTTCCAATTTGCTTTTTCCCGGGCGTGGAAAAAGCAAAAGGCTCAGACTTCCAATTTGCTAGCTGGGAAAAAGCAAGTTGGCTCACAGATTCCCCGTGGCTTTCTGCAGTCTGGGAGAAAACGGGGGGGGTTCGAGCCCGCAGCCTTCTGGTTCTAATCCTGATGCCTTATCCATTAGGCCAGGGCTCCTTGTTTTTGGTTTGTAAATCTGATGCCAATTGCTTTTTGCTTATTTTTTGGGCCTTGGGAAAAAGTTGAAGTCTGAATCAAATAGCTTTTTCCAAATTTGACTCAGACTTCCAACTTGCTTTTTCCCGGCCCGGGAAAAAGCAAAACGGTCTAGACTTTCAATATGGTCAAGACTTCCAATTTGCCTTTTCCCGGGCCGGGAAAAAGCAAAATGGTTCAGCCTTCCAATTTGCTTTTTTCCCAACCCGGGAAAAAGCAATCGGAAGTCTGAAGAGCAATTGTTTTTGCAGCGTGGCCAGGTCACCAACATGACTTGCGCAGACCTTCCGCAGGACCTTCGCGAACCTTTCGCGACTGCAGTGAGAGCACACTCGAAATCAGCCTTTGAAATTCGATTACTAACAAGGAAGAGGTGGGTTTTGAACGACGCTCATATGAAGAATTGTCAACCCATCATCGTCTTGGTTTCTTTCTTATTGTTTTCCGGTCGACGGAGTAGTCTTTTCGGCAAAACGGACATGCGAAGATGACATGTCTGCGTGTTACGTTTTAATACTTGTTTTTTTCGTATACGACAAATTAGTGATTGATACGCCGCCCCGCCACCCCCCAAAAGAAGGAGGGTCGGGGGCATAAGGGCGCTAGCCCATTCTACTTCTCTTTCGTTAGAATGAGGTTCCTATGCCTATGCTTGCCCCTCAAGGATTAAGAACCCAAACAATCCAAAACATGTATACCACCGTATGCCCGATTCGCATCTTAGCGATGCCTCCTGCGCTATCGGAGATTTCACCAGCTCGTCAAGGTATGAAAAATACCTGGGCACATGTGTCAGTGAAGCCAAACACCAACTTCAGCAAACATCCCAAAATATCCCAAGTCACATCATCAGTGGCTGTGCTGCTTGTGGTTCTTCCTGCGAGAGGGTGACGCACTAAACTTGCCCCGCAACCGATCTCTGCACCAACAGTGCGAACAAAACATCTGGTTGGCTCAACTCGCCTGCATCACGCACCTGATTGTGGCCTTCAGCAGCCGAAGATGCAAACTCATGCAAAACGCATGTGATCGCATGTGCGAAACTATCGCGCGACTTTAAGCCTGCTCTCCACCCTTCTCTTCTGGCACGTGATGCAGGGCAATGTGCTGCCAACCCCCAGGCCAAGTACAGCAATAAATAACAATCTTGTGTAATAAAACATGCTTAGTTGCCTAGCGGTTCGTGAGTCTAGCTTCAAGCCGCTCAAGTTCACCCAAAGGCGACCTTTTCACACTTAGACTCATAGCTCAAACGAATGAGCATGATTTTCAGAAAGTGGTTCTCCGCTGCATTAGACGCTTTCTGCACTAGCTGCTGACAGTAAAACAACGAAGGAGACAACTTTTCCGTTCCGTAGATCGCAAAGACTTAAACATGCAGGTACACATTCAGGCGTCCTTGAACGTTCCCACCAGTCTTCCGTAGCTTCGTTGGGCAAGTGGGAAGAACGGCCGTCGCTCCCCTGCTGTTTGCAGCACCCATCGAAGTAATTGAAGTGTCAAAAGGTGTGTACTCCTACGAGTAGAAACGGAGTTGGACACACACACTTGGATGGTTGCTCGCAAGAGCTAGGATCAGTATGAAGTCCCACTTTACACGCGTTAGACCTTGACTGAAAAAAGCGCAAAAGGAAAGGTGATGGGTCCGCAGATTTGAAGGTGTTTTAACAATGTTTTGCAGCTCCTGATAGGCTAGGTGACAGCTTAAAAATTCCAGCGTGGTCAAAATTGGACTGAAGTTCCGCTTTCTTTGCCAGGGTCGCGTCTTTCTTTGTGGCTCCCCCCCGGCTGTGGCAACTTGCAAATTCTTTTGTGGGGAAACTCCTTTCCATCCCCGGAGGCAAAGCCCCGCGTCCCAAGTCCCCGGCGGTGGGCCGGCTACGCAAACCTTCCCCTCAGTTCAGCCTTCCACCTGGCGTCAACCAAGGCTTCTAGCTTTACCGAAGTGCAGGCACGCCCGTGCTCGACACCACTCCAAGGATATTCCACGATGCACAGTGGCCAGCAAGGACCTGTCGTTGCCTTGCCTGACGCGAGTGTTGGGCTCATGACCTGCGTTTCAGGTGTTCTCTACCCACCCACACAAGTGAGCGCAGCCACTATTCAAGACTGCCTCTACTCATGTGACGCGTGCGCCTTAAGGGCTGTGCACATCCTTTCAAACTCCTCCCAACCTGCTGACTTCAACTTGGCAACCCTCTAAAACTGTACATAGAAACGTCCAAAGTCGGTAGAGTGAAAGAGATGCAAAAAGTCTGACGGGAAGTGGAACGGAATGCCTTTGGAACAGGTGGTGACACACACAGTGGGCCAGGATCGGCGCTCATTCCCGTGGTGGGCTGGCTGAGAACGCTCAATAGGGGAGCCTGTAGGTGCACCAGCTTGTGGGGGGATCGCTTGTGGCCAAATGGGTGAGTGGGGTGATGGCGTAACAAGCATGGCTGGTAAACCCCAAGTTGGAGTGGGGTCGGGCTGTTGAAAGGGATGCAACTGAGTCGATGTGGGAATGGATTGGATTGTGGGTGGGAGCTGAGCGAGGTGGGTAGTAGGCATAGATCCCAGCTGAGGTGGCAAACTGGTAGGCGTCAAAGTTGAGGTGTACTGAAGAGGTGAGTGGCTCATATGCGGATGAAGCTGAGGGATTTGAAATGGCACTGTTGGCATCGATCCATAAGGAGCCGAAGGAGCCGTCAATGGTACAGCCTGGCCAAGAGGTCCGTAGGGCGCCGTGGTACTCGTCATCGGTGAAGTCTGAGGGATCCACTGGTAGTTCATGGCGTCCGGTGAAAGGCAGGCAAAGCAAGGTAGTGAACATGATCGACCTATACATGTATGTGCCCGGCCTGGCCTTGATTACCTAGGTGAATGAATGTGATATGCGCGTGCGTGAGATTCCAAGCTGGAGTTGATCTCAGTAAGCTCTGCGGCATATAATCAGTGGTATCGAGCAGAACAGTCAAGCCTGTGAGGATCAAACGAAGTTCCGAGGTGGAAAGAAATCCACCAGGATCTGGGTCTATGCACATGCAGCGCCCCTCGACGGGGATCACACCACAGCCCTCAGTGTGACTCTGTGGCGATACACACTTGGATGGTTGCTCGCAAGAGCCTATAGGACCAGTATGAAGTCCCACTTTACCCGCATTAGACCTTGACTGAAAAAAGCGCAAAAGGAAAGATGATGGGTCCGCAGATTTGAAGGTGTTTTAACAATGTTTTGCAACTCCTGATAGGCTAGGTGACAGCTTAAAAATTCCAGCGTGGTCAAAATTGGACTGAAGTTCCGCTTTCTTTGCCAGCGTCGCTTCTTTCTTTGTGGCTCCCCCCCGGCTGTGGCAACTTGCAAATTCTTTTGTGGGGAAACTCCTTTCCATCCCCGGAGGCAAAGCCCGGCATCCCAAGTCCCCGGTGGTGGGCCGGCTACGCAAACCTTCCCCTCAGTTCAGCCTTCCACCTGGCGTTAACCAAGGCTTCTAGCTTTACCGAGGTGCAGGCGCGCCCGTGCTCGACACCCTCCAAGGATATTCCACGATGCACAGTGGCCAGCAAGGACCTGTCGTTGCCTTGCCTGACGTGAGTGTTGGGCTCATGACCTGCGTTTCAGGTGTTCTCTACCCACCCACACAAGTGAGCACAGCCACTATTCAAGACTGCCTCTACTCATGTGACGCGTGCACCTTAAGGGCTGTGCACATCCTTTCAAACTCCTCCCAACCTGCTGACTTCACCTTGGCAGCCCTCTAAAACTGTACATAGAAACGTCCAGAGTCGGTAGAGTGAAAGAGATTGCAAAAAGTCTGACGGGAAGTGGAACGGAATGCCTTTGGAACAGGTGGTGACACACTTCGAACTTGGGTTTTCAGTTAGACTCAATTGCCACGATGGG